GGTTTCGCCATTGCGTGAGTTTGCTCGGCCCCCTCCCCCTCACCGACGCGGAGTTTGGTTGGCTCGAGGAGACCTTCGCGGCGGGGGACGGGGTGAATTACCCCGGATTCATCGCCGCGGTGCGGGATCGGTTGGAAAGGCTCCCCGAAGGACTTCACACCCCGTTGGGTGGCTTCCCCTTTCTCGCGGGCGTGGGGGGGGACCAAACGTCCAGGGAGGCCTCGGAAATTAAACCCGGGCTTTACGCCGAGGTGGTTGGGAAGATTCGTCGGAAGATGGCCGCGGGCGAGACCCAGGCGTTGCGGACCTTTCGCGAGTACGACCGCGCGCGCCGGGGTTATGTGAAGGAAGGGCAGTTTTTTGCGTGTTTGTACGCCTTGATGGAAGGGCAGCCGACGCCGTTGGAGGCGTCGATTCTTATAAAGACGCTGGCAAACGGGAACAGGGAGATGGCGTACGAGCGGTTCTGCGCCGAGGTCGATGACGAAAAATTCAGAGCGGTTAGCTAGGAAATAAGTTATAGTGAAAATATGATATGTCTATATCTATAGATAGATTTCGGAAACAATGTATGCAATCATTATTTTTTTTTACTCTTTTTATGATAAGGCTGAATGTAAAATTTACTTACTACATTTTTCATGAAACCCAATTCGAATATGACGGAACTCAAACTAAAGGGGTTAATAAATATGTGTGCTTCCTTTAGTTTAGATTCCTTTTTAGTAGGCGTTTCATGTATTGACAGGATAAAAAGAAAAAAAAATCCCTAGTTCATCTAATGTTCTGTGAAAATATCTGAGATCTAATGGTCAAAAAAAAAAAAGACCCTCTTTTTATATTTTCAAATATTATTACTATTATTCTTCCTTTGGGATATGTCGTTTTACGTTTCTTCAAGAAGTTATTCTTTAACTAGGTTAGTATTTTTCTATTCTCCACGCTCCAGAACCACAGTGTATTGTTCCAGATTAGTGTGACTTTCCACACCCTTTTTATAGTATACTCGATTCAAACTTATTTGACCGACTTATACTGAATAAAAAGATATTATTATTTTTTATTTAAGTTTGAAGGATTTGGATTTAATTTACTTTATTATTTCCAAACTCACTAATTTATACACAATTTTTTTTTGCGTGGGGTATATCTTTAAAGGAACGACCCCAAGCACAACAACATTGCTTCATCAACTATTTCAATTTCCCCAAGTTGTCGGTAGATGGCGGGGGATGGCGATAATATTTTCATCCCTGGCTTTATTATCCGCATCCAATATGCTTGCTATCTCTTTGTTGGAATTCTCGCGACATTGCTCTTTCGAACCCTTATGAGTTCCCTCTTCAATGGGATTTCCATTCTCCAAAAAGGTTGCACCATTGTTGACCCAAACTTCGAGGTAACATTGCGAAAGGAGTGCGTGAGTGAGATGGTTGCCTATCGCGTGAGTTTCTCGCTTGCCATCTTTTTTTATTCCACTGGATAAGCGTATCGGACTTAACGTGCTGCATTCAGAGCGCCGCCCGGGCCGAGCTGCAAGGGCGCTTTTTCTACATAAAATCGTTGCTGCTAGGATTAATTTTCATTCTAACCTTTTTCATACCGAACAGCTTTTTCGCGATGTATGGGTATGTTTGCCTTTTTTCCTCCGCCTTCTTCTTGCTGATTAACGCGGTCTTCCTCGTCGACTTCTCCTACCAGTGGAGCGATGACTGGAGTGAGCGGGCAGAGTCGAACGAAAAGTGGATGTGGTATCTTTTCGCGATCGCCGTCGGCAGCTTCGCGCTGGCCGTTCTGATTAACATTATCTCGATTTACGTCTACATCCCCCACGCAGATTGCAACCTCAACGCCTTTGTGCTGACCACCGTCGGGGTCGGGACTCTGGGTTTTACCGTCCTCTCGATTTGGGTCCCCCACGGCTCGATCGTCCCGAGTTGTCTGGTCTTCCTCTACGCCAGTGGGGTGGTCTTCCTGACCTTGCGTACTATTCCCAGCACGTACTGTAATCGCTACGGCCCCAGCTTCTCCCAAGGGACCTCCTTCAAGCAGGTCGTCTTCGGCAGCGTGGTGACGAGCTTTACCCTGGCCTACACCGTCATCTCCTCCAGCGGGAGCGGACGCGCGCTGAACGTCGGGGTCGACGACAACGACGACGACGAGGACCCGGACCGGACCGGGCACCTCTCGCACTATATGTTTTTTCACTTTATTATGATGCTCGGCTCGATGTACCTCGCGATGCTCGCGACGGATTGGCGGGTGAGTGGGGGCGGTGAGGAAACTTTCCTGGGGAGCGTTTATATTGCGTTTTGGGTGCGAATGGTCGCCGTGTGGACGGCGATGTTCTTATACATTTGGTCACTTGTCGCTCCCTATACATGCTGTAAGGGCAGGGACTTTGGGTTTACGGTGGACGATGACTGGATATGATCAGTTGGTTTATCTATATGTCTATAAATTTTAAGGGAACGATCAGCGCAAACGAAAAAAATGAAATCTTAGAAGAGGAGAGGGAGTGTGTGATGGTACGCGGCATATTTTGTGAAGTGCAAAAAAAAAAAGTATTTTTCAGAGGCCGTACAATGTAAGTATTGATATCACACTTTGACGATTATTTTCTAAGCCCAAATTCTTAGCATTGCTTCTGCTGAGTAAGAAAATAAGTTGAATCCCTAATACGATCTATTCAGCTTTAGATATTATTTTATACATGCTTATACCTTCAAAAATTATTTATACATGTTTTGCGTTTATTTTTGAGGTTGATATAGATTTGATGCCTCAACCCCAATTCTACTAAAAAGATGTGAAGATAGAAATCGATAAGAATTATCTGAACAACAGCTCAGACACATTCTCTCTTTTTTTCCCTAGTGATATAATTTCGAAATTTTATCGTCCTATCCTTTTCTTTCTTCTCTAGATTTTTTTAGCTCTCTCTGTTTTTTTTTTGTGCTAAGTTTTTTTAATATTTCTATAAAGCTACTTATTGGCTAATTAGGCGATTTAAATTTATTTTCCTCAATATTATATAAAGATATATTTGTATATATAAACAAGGAAATTGAATATATTTGTTAGGTGTAAAAAAGATTTGAAATTGATTTTTGAGTTTGTCAAGAAAGAATTTAATTAAAACGAGATATCACCAGGTCTTTTTAGTGTAACGAAGGTTTAAAAGCTACTCGCTCATTTTAAGTAAACTAAAGAAGCTCCTGGAAAAAGGTATTCGCCTGTTTGTGCGCAAGTGTTTATCGACTTTATTATCCCCACGCGAACGTTCTTGAGTCAGCGTTATCTCCCATTCATCATCTCGTCTTCTGTCGAACTATATCGATTCCCAAAAAGAGAATACTCCCTTATCGTGAATGCCACCCAAGACGTTGAACACTCGGGTTAAAAGCAACGCCCCCAAGGCGCCGAGCCCCAAACTCGGCGACCACCCCCGCAAATCCGCAGGGGCTGGGGCTGGAAAGGCTGCGGAGGAGGTTGCGGCGCCCGTCCCCGCGGGCCCCACCATTAAGATTTCTTTGACCAACACCGCGCCGGCGGCGGCTGGCAAAAGCTTCCTAGACGC